ATGACAAAATGATAATTTATAAATTATCAAGGGTTCATGAGGGAGGGGGGAGCAGGGAGGGAGGGTAAAAATGAGGACCTGATGCCAGGGGCTTGGGTGGAGAGCAGGTGTTTTGAGAATGCTGAGGGCAATGAATGTACAAACGTGCTTTACACAATTGATGTGTGTATGGATTGTGATAAGAGTTGTATGAGCAAGCCCCTAATGAAATGATTTTTTTTAATGTTACTTTGCAGAGTAGGGTGTATCTGACTCAAACCATAGTATTTCCAATTGCTGTATATGCATGTGAAAGCTGAATATTGAACAAGGAAGGCTGATGAAGAATGTTTATTTGAAATGTGGTGCTGGAGAAGAATACTGAAAATACCATGAACTGCCAAAAGGACAAACAAATCTATCTTGGAAGTAAGGCCAGAGTGCTTCTTAGAGGCAAGACTGGCAAGACTTCATCTTCCGCACATTGGACATGTTGTTGGGAGAGACCAGTCCTTGGAGAAGGACATCACTTTGGAAACAGAGGAAGGCCCTCACAGAGATGAATTGACACTGTGGCTGCAACAATAGGCTCAGGCACAGGAACAATTTTAAGGATGGAGCAAGACCATGTAGTCTTTCATTATGTTGTGCATACGGTTGCATGGGTCAGAACCAAATTGATGATACCTAATAGCAACATAGCACAATGAGAGAGCTACCTGCCTGTTTCAGTACTATGGAATGCTGGACAAATTTAGTTACCTGTCCTGGGCCAGACCGACATTGAAGTATGAAGAAATGCAGACTATTTAACAATCTCATAGTCTCACCCTATGTGAAACTTACTAATCATAAATGGTAAAACAGTTGACACTATAATAATAAGAGAAATATGGTACCAAAATACAAATTAAATGTGAAATCGAGGTATTTTATTGTATCTAAAACATCAAAGAACCACTTTAAAATATCACTTATTTACTCAAAGGATCCACACTGACTAACACACATCTTGATAGCTCAAACGTTAGACTTGTTTGGGGTATATATGACCTGTTGATTTAAAAAAAAAAAATGTTATCAGTTCTTCCTTGCCAGCTCTAGTTTTTGAGATACAGAAGCTCCCACGTCATATGCCACTTTTCACTTTGCTGACCCCTTCAAAATCAGGATCTTTTCACGTAGTGTTAGCTACTCTGGGATGGACCATGTGTACACTGGCTTTATTTAAAGTAGTTTGTGTTGTGCTAAATATTTATGTCAAGTTACAGTTCACATATTATCCTTTGATCCAAAGGTATATTTGAACAATGAAAATTACATGAACTTGGAATTTTCCTCATGTATCACTTTTACCTTATTACAAACTGAATATCAGGCACCTTCATTTTGTTATCTTAAAAGGGGGTCCGAAAGAAGAGTTACTGTACAATAAATAAAATGCCCTGTGGCGTGGTGGGTTGTTTGTCTGCTAAGCACACGGGCAGCGATTTGTGCCCATCAGCTACTCTGGAAGGGAAGACAAGAATTTCCTGCTCCAATAAAGATCTGTATCCTCAGAAACACCCAAGAGGAATTCCACTTTCCTATAGGGTCGCCATGATTCGTAATCAACTGATTGGTAGTGAGTTTGGTACAATAAATAGTAATCCAAATGTTCTGAGACACAAAATGGTGCTGTCAGAGTTCAAACTCCTTCATTAAAATTAAAAAGTTTAGATGGTACAACTTCTCCTCCTGTGCACAAAACGTTTAAAAGTTAAATTTTCTTATAGAGAAGCTTGGAATCAACCTCACCTTTGAAACATTTAGCATGAATTATCCAATGAGTTCTATATAGTCAAAGCTATTCTGAAATGTGTAATGCATAATTAGACGAAGAAATTTTACATCTTGAAAATACTTACAAAATCTGCGAGGAAGTCTTACATTTAGACAATCTAAATCCCCTCACAAATATGTGCCTTTTCTAGTTTCTTTTTCGTTTTTCCATTCTCCTCAAGCTGTGTTGGCTCTGCACTATCCAACTTCTGCTCTTGGTTTATGCTGCACAGCCTCCCACACCAAAAAGAAAAACCCACTGACATCTAATCAGTTATATCCGATAGTGACGCTAATAGGATAGAGAAGAACTCACTCTTTGGGTTTCCAAACCTTTAAATCTTTTAGAGCTAGTGAGTTTGAATCATTGATCTTATGATGGGCTGCTCAATGTATAACCAACTAGCCACCTTGGGTCCATATACAGTTTCCCTCAGAAGTCCCTTAGTACCTAATTACTTTTCAAATAGGTCTGACCTTTTTGTCTTATCCTGTAATTTCTGGGTCTGAAGTCTTATATTTAAAACTAGAATGATAAATTAATACCTGAAAAGATAGTAGAGCATCCTATCTAAGCAACAAGAGCTGATGAAGTCTATCCAATGCAATTTTGTGAATCAGTGCTCCAAGGAATAGGCCTGAAAACCAAGTCACGAAGGAAAAATTGTTTTTTTGGCTGTTGGGCTTTGTTACCAACAACTTTATAATAACAGCTAAAGATTTCTTTCAAGGTAAAATTTAGCATGGACTCAGAAGCAACAAACGGTGTGAAGAGTCCCACGGTTATAATACAATTGGCATTTCTCTCAAAAGCACAAAGTAGTTTTAATGCCCCTGTCTTTGAGATACTGTTTTCTACTCCCTGAGAAAATTTGTTCTTTAAATCACTTAATTTTACAAATTTGCTGTTTGAAATTACATTATTAAAATGAACCATCTACTTTTGATATAGTTTCTACTGTAACTTCTTACATGTCAAGTGAAGTAAGAAACTAAAAGTCTGTATAGCCATTAGTCCTGTATCCAATGTGAGTCCTATATGTGGTAAGGTGTGAGGAAATTAAACTTTTTTTAGCTTTATTGACATATAATTAACATATTATACAGTTCAGTAACATATTGACAAGAGTTGCGCATTCATCACATCAATTTTGAAACATTTCCTTATTTGTACTCATTATTAGCTCATTTCCCCCCACCTTCCCTTCTTTCTTACTACAAATCTATTAATCCAATTATTGTCTCTAAAACTTTATTTATCTTCAACCGCATATACAGAAAAACATTTTTAAAAAACCATGCAAACCCAACAATAAAATAAAACATCAAAAAACCTCAGTTGGAAATTTAAGAGAATATAATAAAAACTAGAACAATTTAAAATAAGATCAAAAGGAGAACAAATGATATGGTGTTAAATTTTAACCTATCTGTATTAGTCAACTTTCCAATGTATTCTGTCTGATAGCTATTCATATCCCTGTTCAATAATGGTCAGAGGGGATTTAATGGATGCTTAATCTAAGTGGGGGCTCTGCAAATAGATTTTGGGCTTTCACTTTCATCCACAGCCTTCTGCACACTGGGTATTCAGAATTTAAGCTCTAATATTGTTTCCTCCTCAAGTCTTGTATTTTATTATTTACAAACCTTGGATCAGACAGGCAGGTGTGCTTCTTCCTGTGGACTTAGCTGACCTCATTTAGATAGCTGCTTGTTTTAAGAAAATCCTGTAAGGCCCCAAACACTATTCTTTCATAATTGGGCACCATCTGCTTTCTTCACCACATTTTGAGGTGTAAAGAAATCTTAAATGCTTTCCCACATTCTTTACATTCATGAGGTCTGGCCACTGTGAGTTCTAATGTGTCTAGCAAGATCAGAAAGCTGCTTAAAGGCGTTCCCACATTCTTTACATTCATAAGGGTCCTCTCCAGTGTGAGTTCCAATATGTCGAGTGAGAGCAGAAGGTTGCTTAAAAGCTTTTCCACATTCTTTACATTTATAGGGTCTCTCTCCAGTGTGAATTCTTATATGCTTAACAAGAGCAGAGAGCTGCTTAAAAGCTTTCCCACATTCCTTACATTTATAGGGCCTCTCTCCTGTGTGAATTCTTATATGTTTAGTGAGGGCTGAGGAGCAAATAAAGGCTTTCCCACAATGCTTACATTTATAAGGTTTCTCTCCACTGTGAGTTCTTACATGTTTAGTCAGGGCAGAGGAATCCCTAAAGGTTTTCCCACATTCCTTACAATCATAAGGCCTCTCTCCACTGTGAGTCCTTTTATGCCTAGAGAGTCCTGAGGGCTGTGCAAATGCTTTCCCACATTCATTACATTCATAGGGCCTCTCTCCGCTATGAGTTCTAATATGTGTAATGAGGGCTGAGGAATCGCGAAAGGCTTTCCCACATTCCTTACATTTATATGGCTTTACTCCACTGTGAGTTTTTGTATGTTTAGCGAGATGTGTGTCTTGACAAAATGCTTTCCCACATTCTTCACATTTATAAGGCCTCTCCCCGCTATGAGTTCTTATATGTTTAGTGAGATTGGGCTTTTGACTGAAAGTTTTCCCACATTCCTTACATTCATGAAGTCTCTCTCCAGTTTGAGTTCTTATAAGTCTAGTGAGGAGTGAGGCCTTTCTAAAGGCTTTCCCACTTTTCTTACATTCAAAATGTCTCTGTCCATTGTGAGTTCCTATATGACTTATAAGTACTGAGGAACAACAAAAAGCTTTCCCACACTGCTTACATTCATAATGTCTCTCTCCACTATGAGTTCTTATATGTGTAATGCCGTGTGAGGAACGCCTACAGGCTTTCCCACATTCTTTACATTCATAAGGCATATGTCTGTTGGGAATTTTTTTGTTTGAAATGAGGGATAAAGGACTGTAGGCCCTACAAGATTCTTCATGTTCATGTATATGCCCTCTGATGTTTGTCCTAAACAATGAAAAAATACAGAAATCTTTCTCACATTTGCTACAATCAGAGAGTTTCTCACTAATGAGTGATATCAAAGGATTCTTAAATGTAGCGTTATAGAAGATCTTACCAAAAGGTTTACATTTCTGGCATATCTTTCCATCAAGAATTTTCACAGGAGTGGTTAGGTGAGAGGGACAAATGAAGGCTTCATCACAATCCTTATGCTGACAGGTATTGCATGTAGTGTGAAATCTGTTAAAATTCTTATGTGATGAGTATTCCATGGAGTCTTTTCTACATCCACAGCATTCAAAATTATATACTTCTGCAAGATTTTCTTTTAGCAAAGTAAAATCTGGAATCTGGTTGAAGATTTCCCCACAGTGATTGTCTTCATTACTTTCAAATAGATTCTCAACTGTATGCTTTCTGTTACAAATAGACAACACATGGTTAAAAGTGAATGTATATCATTTTACCATTACCAACAGTTTATGTGCAGTCTAATATTTCACATGAAAATAATTTAGCAAAAAAAAAAAATCATCCTATTCCCGTTTTTCTAAAATATATGATCTTTGGTTACTGAAACCAAGTGAACTGTGTTTGAAATACTTGAGATAGAACTCACACTTATCAAAAAGTTGTATTGGGATAATTGGTTGAATATGTAATTTTAGAGTTAGCTTTAAATGTGTTGTCAGGCACTTTCATACAGGCTCTGACATAGCCATATGAAACCCAAACCTACAGCCATCGAGTTTATTTAAACTCGTAGAAACTCTACATGAGGGGGCAAAATAGAGCCTCTGGGTTTCTACGACTATAAATTCTTACCAGAGCAAAAAGTGCCGTCTTTCTCCTGCAGAGCATGTACTGGAGTTGAACTGCTGACGTCTCGGTTAGCAACCCAACAGGTAACACACATATTTCCAGGACTTCTCACAGCAATCCTACCCACAACATAATAAACCTACCTGTGTCTACGATCTGTCGTCATCAAAATTGTTGCTATATTTGAGTGTACTTTTTTTAGCAGTATTATTAGCACTTCATCAATGTCATACAATTTAATGCAGTTTAATATCAAGAAGAGTTGTACAGCTGTCACCCTATTGAAGTTTTGAACATTTTCTTCTTCCTTGTACTCATTGTTATTCATGTAGTTATAGATTTTTCTAATTGTGGCAAAATATAAATAAAACATTCAATTCCACAACTTCTTCTTGTATAATTCACTGCCATTGATTATACTCTTCATTTTTTAAAATCATTTTATTAGGGGCTCATACAACTCTTATCACAATCCATACATTCATCAACTGTGTAAAGCACATTTGTACATTCATTGCCCTCATCATTCTCAAAACATTTCCTCTCCACTTAAACCCCCCGCATTAGGTCTTCTATACTCTTCATTTTATATAACCATTATTAATCATCTTTTCCAAATAATTCCACCACCACTGATATAGACAATGTCCCTACACAACACCTCTTTCCCCTTCACCTTTTGGGAACCATTAATCAGTTTGGTTTCTTTTTTATAGTAGTTTATTGATACAGTATTCTTGATAAGTACATGTATCATACACTTCCATGGTTAAATTGCTTTTAAAATGAGTGGTATATTTTGGGTGTATTTTTACAACTTTTGTTTTAAGCTAGCTCATTAAAGACCTTCCTCTTTACAGCTACTTTACGAAGCTTTATATATAAGCATATACTGTGTGTACATATTTTAGATAGATTGATTGATAGATAGATAGATATGATGTAATAATACCTTTTAACTCTCTCCTGAGGCACTGTTGTATTCTTGAGGAATACCACTCACCTCAAATATTCCATTTGGTTTCCAAACTGATCACTGCCATCCAATTCAGAGATTCTTTCTAACATGGAGTACCCGCAGTTACTCTTCATTAATTTCATCAGCATGTGTTCACTGAATGACCTTTCTCCATCATTAACATTGTGAGAGACTGATCCAAGCATTGAAGTGGAGGTTCACAATAGGAAAAAAAAGGTTGGGGGGAGCAAAGAATTATTAGGGGGGAAAAGGCTGCTTTGCACCAAGAAAGATTTCATCTCATTAAGCTGTTTCAACACTTTGGCAATAGTTAAAAGAGTAAATTACTTGGAAATAAATCCATGATAATCAAAAGGGATGATGAAACACGCAGGTAAAAATTTTAAAGCTAAGTAGAAATATATTGAACACACTATGAGGATGTTTCAAAAAGTTCATGGAAAAATATAACTAAAACACAATGGAACTTTTCCACTAAATATTTGAGGTGCCATCTTACATATGTAACATTAAAAGAGAAAAAGTCTTTCCAAATATGTGACCACAAGTGTGAGAAGATTGCTAAAGTCAAAAAAGTAAGCTCAGCTATTTGTGCAGCTGTGTCATCAACACAAATGACTCTGTCTAGCGGAATCACTGAAGTGGAATTCCTTCCATACAAGATTGGCCCTTCAGAAAGTCGGTGGCTCTAGACGAGTCTTATCGTCACTGTTTTTGCTACTCAGGGAAAACAAATGGTTTGTATCACTGGCTAGAGTTCCTGGAAAATATACAGACAGCACAAGGAAAGAGTGCAGAGCAGAGAATATTTCCCTAGCACTGAACCCTAATCTACTCTCCACTCACGCACTCCACAAGCTCCCACACCACCAGTCAGTCAGTGCCCTAAAACGATCCCTGAAACTAATGGTTACCATTACAATTCTTAAAGAATCTATGGGCTTTTACTCACAAGGCAAATGAAACTAAACTGTAATACACATATCTTCATGTTCATGGAAAGGCACCAGGATATGTGAGCTCCACAGGCCAAGAGGCCATGCCTGTTTTATTAAATAGTTTATTCCTATTTTTTAGCCTAAATACTGAGTAAAATATCTACCTTTACTGAAAGAAAAAAATATTTATCATTCTTACCTACTGAGGTCAAATTTTTTAAGGTTTCCATCATCACATCTCTGTAGAGTTTCTTCTGAGCAAGATTCAGCAAAGCCCACTCTTCCTGACTAAAGACCACAGCCACATCCTCGATGTCCATTGTGTCCTAAAACATCACACACATTCTGATCAGCAAAGTAGTACCATGTATTACAGACTCGCCCCCAAGAGCAAAGTGTGAAACAGAGTCCTGGGTTGCTGAGAACTTAGGGACTTGTCACAAGGTTCTACGTTATACAAAGAAATACTCTTAAGATATAGCCTCATCCCTTTGCTAACTGTATTCACTTCCTCGCTGATTACATTTGCCTCACACACTTCCAACACACTGAAATAACATCTGCACCGTTCTGCTGCAGTGAAATGGAATCTGATTCCATTCTCATTATGATCTAGAAGAGTCATAAAGCATAACAAATTAGAAGAACAATTTCATTCAGATCATCATTTCCTTGCAAACAAAAACATTACACCTCCTTCCATAAAACCAAGAGAAAAACTCAACAAAACAGAAAGCACAGAGTGAAGGCAAGATGAGGCATTCAAAATTGAGAAGCACAACAGAATGGCACTGTTTACTTTTGCCCTTCACAGAAAGGAGCGAACAAAGGGTCTGCACCAAAAATGCTGGGCAACCCAAATGCCTGAGCTGGTGTAGATATACATATGTGGGTATATGTAATCAATAGCTCTAGAAAGAAGGAGGTGACAGCTCCACCTGCTGCTAAAGACTGTACTTGTGGAGAACTGTACTAAGCCAATTACCAACCTAGTTTTCATAAACTCGGTTGTTCTGTCATCCTCTTTGATACTTTCACACAGAACGGCAAAGATAAGAAGATCAAGTGAGAGAGCATTTGAGAAGCCAGCTCTCTCCACAATTTTCAAATCTGATACAATTGTTAGTGACTACACAACCTCACCAAACACAAGCCCACACACCCTCCCACAAAGTCTAATGTTGTAAATCAACAAAGAACACTACATCATCAAAGACAAGAATAGCAACACCCTTTTACTTATACTTGCTGATAAGTGGTTATGATTCCTATTGTGTTATGACTCTACATCAGAAGCTGGATTATATGAAGAATATGACATCAGGATTGGAGGAAGGCTTATTAACTAACTAATATGCAAACGACACAATTTTGCTTGAAGAGAGTAAGAAGGAAGCACTTGCTGATGAAGTGAAGGACTGCAACCTTCATAGTGGCTGTAACTCAATGTAAATAGGACCAAATTCCTCACAACGGGACCTATAGGTGACATCCTGATGACTGGAGAAGAGGTGGGAGTTGTCGAGAATGTCGCTTGTGTGAAGCCACAGTCCATGCTCCTGGAAACAGGAGTCAAGAGTTCAAGACGCAGTACACTCGGAAAATCTACTGCATAAGACTCCTTTTTATTTCTCCTTTGGTCTTTTTAATTCTCTTCTGGCTCGTCTCTTCCTTGCGACCCTTCTGTAAGGAGATGTCCATTGTCTACAGATGGAGTTTGGGTCTCCACTCCACACTCCCCCCTCATTCACAAGGTAAGAATTTTTGTTCTGGGTCTTTGATGCCTAATACCTGATCCCATCGACACCTCATCATCACACAGGCTGGTGTGCTTCTTTTATGAGTGCTTTGTTGCTTCTCACTTAGATGGCCACTTGTTTATCTTCAAGCCTTTAAGACCCAGACACTATGTCTTTTGATAGCAGCATTATCATCTTTCTTCACATTTGCTTACGCACCCACTTTGTCTTCAGCGATAGTGTCAGGAAGGTGAGCATCACAGAATGCAGGGTTATTAGAACAAAGTGTTCTTGCATCGAGGGAGTGCCTGAGTAGAGGCCCAATGTCCATCTGCTACCTTAATACTTAACATATAAATACATGTACATAAATCTATTTCCCTATCATTATATATAAATATATTTACATATGTACATGCGTGTATGTAGACCTCTATAAATACCCTTTGCCTCCTAGTTCTTTCCTCTATTTCCTTTTACTTTCCTCTTGTCCCATTATCATGTTTGGCCTTCATTCAAGTTTTTACTTGAATGTAATTACTCTTGGCCACACTGCCCTTGATCAAGCCCTACCAGGCATCCTATATTCTCATCACTGATTTTAAATCACTTGTTGTTCCCTTTTTCCTAGGTTTGTTGACACCCCCTGAGACAGTTAAAGTTTATTGTGCGAACCTGGCCGATAGACACATGTGGGGTTAATTGAAGGGCAGAGAGATAAATGGCTTGGTGAGCCTCCCCTTTCAAATTCTCAGGTCTCTTGCTTTTTGATGGTCGGACCAGGGAGCAAATGCCTTAGCCAGTTCCCTGCTTCAGCTGGCAAGGCTCACTTCCTGCAAAACATCCCCAATGAGAAGCCACATGGCTCTACCCTGATGCAGCCCTGGGTGCTGGAGCAGTCGTATGGAGACCTCTGCCAGTGCTGAGATGCTTACGCATTCACTAACTCCGCTTTCCTCCTGCAGTTGGCATCATTGAGTGTGTTTTGTGAGATGGAGGAGGACTTTGTGGATTGGTGTCAGACATATGGGTTAATGTTGGACTTGTGGGCTTGGGCAGCACTGGGTTGGGATGCTTACTTGTTGAACACTTAACCTTTTATAAAACTCTCTCTCATACAAGAGTTTCTGTGGATGTTTTTCTAAAGCACCCAGACTAACACACACCCCTTCCTTTCCCCCGCCTCCCCCTGTCCTGTGTGCCCCCCAGAACTGTCGGTCCCATTGTTTTCTCCTACGGACTCTTTAACCTGCTTATCTTATCTAGATAGACATGCAGAGACAATAATAAGCATGAAAACAAGACAGAGCAAAACAAGACAACAAAAAAACACAAAACCAACCAAACCAAGCCAAAAAAAAGACAAAAAAAAGAAAAGCCTATAAATAGTTCAAGGTCTGTTTATTGACCTTTAGGAGTGTTATCCAGTTTAGTCTGATGGGGTACCACGCCCTGGCCCCAAAGTCTATTTTTGGTATTCCCTGAGAACTTCATTGCTTTGCTCCACTTGCTGCTGTTGCATGCTTCAGTGTTTCACCCATGCGTAATGGGGTCATATTGGGCACAATTCCCGCACTGTATCTCCAGTGTTGTCCCCGTAGAGCTATGGGTCAGTGAGGAACATCACGTCTCATGCTGGGGCCAGACCTATGGTCCTCTCTGTGCATTGGCTGCTCTGAGCAGGAATATAGTCCTCGGGGCTTGGTGGGCCAGGGGCTTGGTGGGCCAGGATGTGTTCCACTCTCTCTCCTTCCCTCTTTGCTCCTGTGTGCTCTGATCAGACACACTCCTCTCCCTGAGCTGTAGCTTCAGTGCTGTCCTCTGAAGTGCATTCTTCCGGGGAGAGTGGGGGTGTCCACGTAGTTGGGATTGGGGCCAGCCCCAACAAGACTTCTTTAGTGTGTGAAAAAACAGGGCAGGGGGACAGAGGAAGAGAGGAGGAGGGGGGAAAAAAGGAAAATGAGCTGATTCCAGGAACCAAAGAGGCAAGCGAATTTTGGGAATGATGAGGGCAACAAATGTATAGATGTGCTTTACACAATTGATCTATGTATTGTGATGAATTTTATGAGCCCCAATAAATTGATTAAAAAAAACAACAACAACAAAAAAAAACAGGGCAGTTACTTTGATAACTAAGGTGCACCTGACTCAAGCCATGGTATTTTCAATTGCCTCATATACCTGTGGATGTTGGACACTGAATAAAGGAGGACCGAAGAAGAATCAGTGTGTTTGAAATGTGGTGGAGAATACTGAAAGTACCATGGACTGCCAAAAGAACAAGCAAATCTGTCTTGAACAAAGTACAGCCAGAGTGCTCTTTAGAGGCAAGGATGGGGAGTCTTCGTCATACATACTTTGGACATGTTGTCAGGAGAGACCAGTCCCTGGAGAAGGGCATCATGTTTGGTAAAGTAGAGGGGCAGCAAAGAGAGGCAGGCCCTCAGGAGAGTGGAATGACACGATGACTGTAACAATGGGCTTGGGAGTCGATACAGTTGTGAGGACGGCGCAGGACTGTGCAGGGTTTCCTTCTGTTGTGCATGGGGCAGCTATAAGTCAGAACCAACTGGAAAGCACCGAACAACGACAACAGAATAAATGCAATCAGTGTCACCAAGTTATACTAAATTGGTAATTGTTCTATGTGATTTTTACTAACTCATCTGTCATTGAATTGATTTAACGCAAAGCAACCCCACAGGGTACAGAGTAGTACCCTGTCCCTATGGGATTCCAAGGACATAAGTCTTTATGGCACTAGAAAGGCTCACTTTTTATTTTTAATCATTTTATTGGGGGGCTCATACAACTCTTATCACAATCCATACATACATCAATTGTATAAAGCACATTTGAACATTCGTTACTCTCATCATTCTCAAAACATTTGCTCTCCACTTAAGCCCCTGACATCAGCTCCTCATTTTTCCCCTTTTTATAATGTATAAACCAAACCTATTGCCATCAAGTCAATTCTAACTCTCTGTTATAGAACAGCACTAAGCTGCATAGGGTTTTCTTGGCTGTAAACTTTAGGAAGCATATCACCAGGGTTTTCTTCCACAGCCATGCTGGGTGGATTAGACCCGCGACTTTCGGTTAGCAACTATGTGCACAGCAGGCTTTTATATATTTCACCAGGTTGGAAGTTTTTTTTTTATGTACAATATATTGTCAGCCTCCAATGCTAAAAACTCCGGATTATTCTTTTGAACCATCTATATAAATAATCATGCCATTTGTGAATAATGACATTTTTATTTATTCCTTTCTAATTTTTTTAAATCATTTTATTAGGGGCTCATACAACTCTTATCACAATCCATACATACATCAGTTGTGTAGAGCGCATTTGTACATTCATTGCCCTCATCATTCTCAAAACATTTCCTCTCCACTTAAGCCCCCGGCATTAGGTCCTCATTTTCCCCCTCCCTACTCCCCCCTCCCTGAAAGACTCACTCTTATCCATGAGGCAGCTCACGGTTTTTCACTGCTGACTTTGTGGGTGGCAGCCCAACAAAGAACTGGGTACACCACCAGGGCTCCTGTATTGATAATTATTGGTGTATAGAATATAA